TTTTTTCCTTTCCCCCCTTTTTTTTTTTTTTTTTTTTTTTCTCACTTCACTTGCAGCTTTTTCAAATCCCAAATTACCCCTTTAAATTGTCTTTTGCATAATGTGCCTCTGTGATTCTGACCTTGTATACATGAACTAGATTTTCCAGGGTTTCTGTTCTACCATTTGTATATTTGACAATTTACAGGTGAATTGAATGTGTAAAGTATTCAATGGAAATTCTGATGCTTCTAATCTTTTTCTCCATTGAAGAGGTTAAGGATCTATCTGAGTTGTATATATTATTATAGGGTTTAGCTTGAACAGATGCCCTGCTTTATGTTCTGATGACTAGAAGAAGATCCTTCCAATCGAAACTTGCTTATTTTCTGCCTAAGAAATTTAAATTTACAAATTATTTGGTTGGTTTCTGATTTGTGAAGTTGAAAAAATATCTTTTCATGGATGAGAAGTAAATAGGGGGAAGGGAGGAGGAATGTGATCAAAATGAAAAACTCTTGTATGGAAGATAAGGAGGGGGAAAGGAGGTATATGTGTTCCCCCACTGCCCCCCTCCAAAACAGTAAATTTTGCGCCTCAAAAATTGGGGAACAATTTATTTGAACTAATATGGGGAAGTATTGCTCATTTCTTGTACTTATAACTTTTTTTTCTTCTTTGTCTACAAAAGAGATCTAAGACATGGTTCTGGGAGAGGTTGGGCAGACTAAAGTGGCCCTTAGTGGGGTTCAATACTGTGATCAAGCAGTTTCCAAAGCCAAAGGGACTTAGTGTCGATCAAGCTAAGGCTCTTGGGCGTTCCACTTCAACTTCAACTCCCAAAGTAGGGGTAGTGTTCCCTGATTTCCTTACTTGAACATTGAAGCAAGGGAAAGTAGCTCCTCCATCCCCTCCCTTTCCTTCCCTTCCACTTGAAAAATCCCTAACATAGTTGTAAGTAGAACATCTTGGTGTTTACAGGGTACTGCTCTGTTGCACTGGTACCTTTGATATGGGAAAAATTGAGGGCAGTATATCTTGTTAAAAGAATCTTTGGCCTGTAAAGCCCTTTCTTTCTCTCAATATTGGACATTGGTTCATGTAGCTCTGTTAGAGGTATAAGACCATTTAGGTGCCTTCACCCAATACCATAAACATAAAGCTTTTATAGGAGAGGTCTTTGACAAGTTCATTAATAATAATGTCCTCATGTAAATAATATGTTATCTGATATAATTCATTTCACAATATCTGCTCATCTTTTTTAAAGAATTACAAATTTTTATTTATTGCTTGATTAATCATGGTTCTTTTCCATTTAGTAGGTATGATTTTAAGCTGTAGATATAGGTTTCTCATTACAATGGTTCTCTACATGCAGAAATATTAAGAGTTTCTGGAATGCTATCCAATCAAGGTTTTGGGGACTTTGACAGACTGCGGCATAGAAGCCCTAGTCCTATGGCTTCTTCAAACCTCATGTCAAGTGTCACTGGAATGGGATTGGGTGGATGGAATAGTCTTCAGCCGGAGGTGACTGCTATTCAAACTGTTTATCTTTACATTCAAACTGTGTCATCAACTTATGCTTGTCATTGTTTGACTATCATCTGTTTGTGTAGATTTGAATGTTTCTTTTGCTACTTTAGATAGTACATCACTGTATATCTAATTATAAATTATCTATATATGCTCACATATGCTTGTTTAATTCCAGATGTTTGAGAATTTTAATGTTTCATCTACACTACAGTTAGCTCAATGACCTGGATTGTTATGTATGATGTATGATGTATTCAACTTGTGATTTATTGTGCTTATTCCTTAGTAGTTTTTTCATCCATAACACAATGCAAAGAAAGTAATGTTTGTCCTTAGTAAAAGCAAAAGATAAGTCTCATGTAAAAGAGAGAAAAATGAGTTTTGGGTTACCCTATAATAATGGATTGGCAGTTAAAATGTTTTTTAAAGAATGATTGAGAAAAAAAAATTATGATGGATACACAGGGATTAGATTAAATGATGTGGAGCCGTGGGCTGTATATTATTATCAAGCATCCTGCAATAGGAATTGTTTTTTTTTTGGGGGGTGGGGGCAGGGGACAAGGTAGTGAAATTTATGGTGAGAATTGACATCCATATATAATGTAATACAATGATGTATGCAATTAGAACACATCCAGGTCCTGGTCATTCATTCTTTGAACTTGAAAACAATTTTCTGAGAACCTGGATCCTGACTTAAGATAGGATGCGGGGCTAAGTGGTTAAATTTAGCGAACCACCTTTTAGTTGTAATTCAACTAGTCAAGGATGAGCATGACTGTAGTTTAAATGTATACATTAATCAGAAGGAATTTTATACCATGGATGAGTAGACTAACCGAAAAAGTTTGTCCAGCTCACAGAAAAATGAAATTTTTGAAAAAAGGACAGATCCAATTTTAAATGTGATCCAAGTCAGAACAGTGTGGTATTCTGATCTTGACGTTGCCATGCATTCAACTTTCTAATGTGATAATACTTTAGCGAAGTAGTCTGCACTCTGCACTATAGAAGCATTATAGCAGTGTTGTGGAACAGAGCGTCCCTAAGCTTCTATAGGATTCAAATAGTGAATTGGTTTTCATTAGTGTCCAAAATAGCACCTTTACCATGATATAGGCTTCGAAAACCCATTTTTACCTCTGAAACGACATTGTTTAGTTTTTTTTTTTTTTGTTGGAAAAAGTTGTGATTTATCCCCCATTTTCTACTGCATTATAATCATAATAGGATTTGAAACCCATCTTCCCTGAACATTCCGCAAGATGTTATCTCCTTTTTGACCTTTGTTCCTTCATACTTTACAGGACTATTTTTTACCTATGTTCCATTCTTCTTCCTTTAGATTTCTCAATTCACAGTCTTCTAATTTTTATCTAAGTCGTTGTGTTCTTTTTCTATTATTTTCATCATCATCATTCAGTTTTGACTTCATTACTCTGTTCTTATTGTTCCCAGAGTAATGGTGATTATGTGTGTAAACTGACTTATTTAATTATGTTCCTTTTTGTTTTGAATATTTACATATGTAGCATAAATTATTTAGTTTTATTATAATATTTAAAATAGCAGTCAGCCCGTTATTCCATTATAGTGTTTTCTAAGTTAGTGCTTCACATTTCTATTTGAGACTGATAACTATGCTTTGTTGTAGTCATGAGTCACATTTATAACTGCTATTTTTCTGGTTAGTAATAACAGTTGTCATTTAATTTGTTTGCCTCATTTTTTTCATATCTAACTTCTAAACTTTCCTGGTTTGTTGGTTACCTGGATTGAGAATGCTACCTTTTTTCCCCCCTTTTTATCACTAGTTCTTGTTCTTCACCATACTGTTTTCCTGTTTGAGCTATTATACATACATTATCTTATTCCTTTTCCCCCTTGGTTAACAGAGATTACGTGGAACTCCTGGAATGACCATGGACTGGCAAGTTGCACCTGCAAGTCCTAGTTCTTACACAGTTAAGAGGATTTTGCGCTTGGAAATTCCAGTTGATACATACCCCAATGTGAGCTCTCATATCTTCAATTTAGTAAAGACAAATTGATTACTTGATCAGGCTGCTGTAGTTTATCTTTTCTCTTTATTGCATAAGTTCAATTTTGTCGGAAGGCTTTTGGGACCCCGTGGCAATTCTCTAAAACGGGTAGAAGCTTCAACAGGTTGTCGGGTGTTTATTAGAGGAAAGGGTTCCATAAAAGATCCTGACAAGGTAATGAAGGCCATGATATGATTTTTCCGGTCTAATGTTTTGCAAAATTTGAAATAAATATGATGCTTCTTTTTGTTGATCTATATATTATTCTTGTGTAACAATTGAGTATATTATCCTTTCAATGTTAAAGGAAGAAAAATTAAGAGGAAGACCGGGCTATGAGCATCTCAATGAACCACTCCACATTTTGATTGAAGCTGATTTACCTGCTAATATTGTTGACATAAGGCTCCACCAGGCTCAAGAAATTATAGAAGAATTGCTCAAACCTGTGGTAAGTTTCATTCCATTCTGCTTCACTTTTATCCCAGGCCTGTATTAATGTACATATAAAAGCTTTAAAATTCTCAAGTAAATGTAAAGAAGCTATTTATTTTTGTTGTTTTCAAGTTTTGTAACTTGAATATAGTTAATTACTTTGAAGTGAGGAACAACAGTTTCTCTAGACTAGATTTAAATTGTGATTGGATAACAATTAATGGCTTGGGGAAGATAGACGTTTTGTTTGTTCATCCAAGGTTTCCAATTCACGTTTTAATTCAAAGGTGTCAAATTTGACTTATCAGCATTCGGTTGGAGTCCATATGTTTTACCTTTTCATTGAAATACTGTTCGAATCAATTCTAGCTAGCAGATTAAGTTAGTGGAAAATATCATAAAAATGGTGCGATTTAAACCATTTTTCTCAAGTTATAGTATGTAGAACAATACCCTACCTGACAACCATGATATTGTTGGAAATCAGATACACAGAAACTTCTATATGGTAACTCTTTATTAAAGTTAATCGTGAAAGGATTTTTATATTTACTTTCTCTTGGTTGTAAACTTCTGTTGTGCAGGATGAGTCAGAGGACTATATTAAGAGGCAGCAATTGCGTGAATTGGCAATGCTGAACTCAAATTTCAGGGAAGAGAGTCCTGGACCAAGTGGAAGTGTATCTCCATTCAATTCTAGTGGAATGAAACGAGCTAAAACTGGTCAATGAAAGAAAGGTTTCCTTATAGATGGGTGTAATCGTTTTACAGCACATCTCAATCAAAGCAAAGAATTGAGAATAGGCGTGTTCAAATGAGTCTTTTTGTTGTACACTTCATACATTTATTATTGGATTTATTCTTGCGTCCGTAACTTGTGAGAAGCATGAAATATAGATTTGATGGGTGATGTTTTAGGTCTAAGTGGATCAAGTTTTGTGGGCATGTGACATGTCAAGTTCATTGGTATTCAAAGATTTACTGGTTAGCGTAGGCTGAATTCTTTTTAGTTGTCTGTCTCAAGCATTTGTATTCTATTCAGTGCGGTACAGTTGAACGATACCATGTATCGTTGATGGAAAACTGTTATATGTTTATATAAAATATAGTACATAATATATTTCTTGAGCGAATGTTCTAGATTCATGGCATGTCAAATGGAAATAGATGGCATTATTCTTTTTTGTAAGTTGTTTTTCGGTGCAAAATGTCAGGCTCATTTAAGAGAGGTGATAACTACTTCAGAACCGGTGTACAGGGTTTGAATTTTATATTGTTTTTTTTTTTCTACACTTAATACTCCTTATATACACTTCAAAAATAATTTGCTTTTGTAAGTAAAGCTTTCTATCTTAAAGAAAGAAAGATGGAATTGTTGTGCTCAAGAAAAGAAATAAGGACTTCACATAAAATCCGAAGAAGTGAAATGCTCTCCGTTACCTACCATCACAAAAAATGGATTAGTAACATGAGAAATTAAATATGTTTTTGTAAAATACTGTGTGAGCTGCCTGTGTCCATTAAAATCATTACGGAGAGTCCATTGATAAGTCCTTGAAATTTAAGGGTCTGAGTGGATGGAAAACCGAAGAGAGCCTAGCTAGAAAGCTGAAGATGGACAACATCTTGGGCGGAAATTGAGGTGGTGAGGGTCTCTAAAGTCGACTTGGTCTTCGGAAAGTTGTAGTGTTCAAGATTAGAAACTTAGGAGGAGAACATTTATGACCTTGGAAGTATTTTTGCCTCACAATAATAGCAAAGGCCAGCTACCCGTCGCTCTTGAAGTTGGTGAGGGGATAAACGTCTAAGGGCAAAGGGTTTGAAGTGGAAGGATTGATCGGTGATAATGAAGTAGGACAAATATTGACTTTTGGAGGAGTCCATTTGGTCGAAGAGTTATAGGGGTTGGAATGGATGTATTTTGGTTTAGAGTCTCGTAGCTTGTCTTCAATAAGCTTATCGAAATCCGAAAAATTTCGATCTTATCTATAGATGGTTTGGACTTTCATTTTGAAAATTTTATCGGTTAGAGAATGTCCAGAGACTAAACTAATCCCTAAACAACAGTTTTTGAAGAAGGTTCGAAGGAGTCGCCACAGATATTTTACTCAAAATATTGGAAAAAGAAAAGATTTTGAAATTACAATAAAGGTCTTCATAACAATAAAGGTTTTCGTAGCCAAAATTGGATTCGGGAGTCGGTTAT